GCTTACTGCTGAGCAAGGAAGTTTGCTTCCTTATGTGTAAACCATGAGCAGTGTCTGCACTTTGGGAAAATGCACAAGAGCGTGAAATCAGGAAGGCAGGAAATTGGAGACACTCTTAGTCCTGGATTTCTCATAGTCAACCAGCTTCCATATGGTTGCAGTCAACAAGAGGATATTCAAAATATGTTTAGATGGAAGGATACAAGAGGAAGTCATGCTACTTCTGAACTAACTTAGCTTTGATAGCACTGTAATAAAGCTGTGTTATTATTAAACAGTCTCAGCTAATTATCTTGCTCATAAGCTACAGCAAGATCTGCTTGGGCATGGGTGGACTCCTTCTGTTCTCTAAATTAGCTGAGATTCTCCTCACACAGCAATGAGTATTAGATGGAGGGCACTTATTTTCATTTTGCAGTAGTCACATATGGTTGCATTCATGGTGGGTTGTTTGCACTTTCAGAAGTCATTACTGACTCATGCACAAGACACTGTACACAGAAACACTTTTTCCTCTGTTTTAGATAGGCGTGAAAATGGGTGGCTGTTTTGCCTGTGTTAGATTGCATGGTCTTGTTTTAAGGCCTTTACTGTGAGACAGAATTGCTCAGAAAATTGCCAGCTAAAAGGAGCTGAAGAAAGGATGCTGTATTACCTCCCACAAACTCTCTCACAGTGTTCATTTGCATTTTTTCAGCTGACAGAGGAGGCAAAAAGGGTGAAGTAGGATGAAAATGCAAGTGTTGCAGTATCCGTAAGGTTTTCCAGGACTCTTGCATAAATACACATTTCTTTTCTAACTAATACATTTTAACTATTAAACTGCTAAATCATCACTTCCAGTTGGAGGACATAAGAAAACAGTTCCCACAAGTTCCTGAATATGTTCACTGATCTAGCTTGATGTCATTTAACCTGCTGTTCCTTCTGTCTCTATTTCTGATTTTATGATAGGGGTCTTCCAGCTTTCAACTGCTCTCCCTCTAGAGTCAAACGTTTGTTAAGTTGACATTGCATCCATGATAATTCTATGATCTGGATTTCTTATTTTAATGAAAAAAGATTTGCAGTTATAAAAATTACTTATGCTTTAACTTTTGCTTTATGTTAAAGAAAAATATAAAGAAAAATAAGACAATATTTGGGACCAGCTTAGCTGTTTGGTTGCAATTAAATCATTTCCTAAAAGCATTCAAAAGTGATTCCTAATAAAAACGCCTGTTCTGAACAAAGTATTTTGCAGCCCGTGGAGAAACCTTGGGGAGAGTGCTGCTGCTCAGCATCACAAGGATTCTATTCTTGTGCTAAGGCTTTGAGATTGCTCAGGAGATGCAGAAGACATTTTGTGGTTGTAATGGCTGGAATTGCACATTCTCCATCAGTTTTTTCTGATCAATGAAATTTTTCTAATTCTGGCATTTCTGAGGAACTATATTTACTAGTTGTATTGGTAAAGACACTAAGGTACTCTAGTTCTGTCTGACACAAGGAAAAATAAATACCTCAGAAACAAAAACAGTTGCAGTTGTACCCACATAAAGTTTTGCTACCTTCTACCTCAGGGAAGTAAAGTGTTTGCATACTGTGGTCTCGGACTACTAAAAAGTACTGCTTAAAAGACCAGACAAAGTCGGGTTCCTCAAAAAAAAAAAACCAACCCATTACAGTGGCTCTGCTATGGAAGCTTATTGCCTTACAGGAGCTGTATACTGGTTTGCTTCCAACTCTGAGTTACATTTTTTTTCTTTGTAAAAATGTCATGAAATTGGCTGTTACATGATTAAGCAGTGAGTCCTAAAGATGTAGGCATCCTGTAGAGAACAAGTCTCTTCTTGCGATACATCCAGTGCCCTGCAGGCTGGGCATACACCCAATCTGCTTGCATAAAGTCACAGCACTTGTAATACTACTTCAGGAAAAACACCTGAGCAAGGCTAAAGGAGGAGTGAGATGACAGCATGGGCATGGTACCACCACACTTTGCTGCGGCCATCAGGTCCCCTCTGAGCCCTTAGCCTGGTGAATGCTGCCAGCTGCTGGATGGTAACTGTCAGCAGCTCCTCAAGCAAGGCTTTGGAGGTCAGCTGAGGTGCTCCTCTTCCAAGCTAGACCTTGCTTTTCCAAGCTGTGTGCTATACCTCTGTGCCTTCTCTAAACTCCCCAAGAAAAGAGTTGGAGCTAAAACACCAAGCTAGGTACAAAGATACAGGCACAGCTTTGCTGTCTCTTCATTTTTTCTCAGGCAGCTGACTGTGTACAAGAAGAATAATACAGTTGACAGGTCTTCCAAAGCAAATGGAAACCCTTTGGCATAAGGAAGAAAAGAGACATAACATAAAACAGAAAATGTAGTGCAGTGGCTAGAAGGGAGCAGAAGTCATAGAGCAGAAAAGAATGTTGAAAAGTCAACAGAAAGATAGATGGGTTTGATGGGTCAGTGGAAACAAAAGTAAAGATGGAAATTCTTTAAACAAAAGGGCCGGGGTGGCATCAGCACTGCCAGCCAGGTGAGGTAAGTGGTTGTCCCACTCAGCTCTATGCAGTCTGACCTCACCTCCAGCACTGGATGCAGGCTTTGGTGCCACCATACATGAAAGACGTAAAAATATTAGAGAGCATCCAAAGGAGAGCTATGAAGAAAGTGAAAGGTCTGGAGGATATGATGTGAAGTGCAGCCAAGGTCCCCTGTCTTGCTGGAGCTGTGTCAGGGGATGGCCAGGTGTTAGGAAAAGGTTCTTCGCTAGAGGGTGGTGGGCATGGAACAGGCTGCCCAGGGCAGTGGTCAGGGCCCCAAGCTGCCAGAGTTCAAGAAGCATTTGAACCGTGCTCTCAGATATGGGGTTTCAATTTTGGGTGGTGCTGTGTGGAGCCAGGGGTTGGACATGGCGATCCCTTTGGGTCTCTTTCAACTCCCAACAAACCTGTACTCTATGATTCTATGACCTCCTTAGGCCTACCTGAGGAAAATTCTTGATACAAGACTGCAAGGGAAGCTCTGCTGGACTGGAGACAATCTTTTGTGTGGGAGAAGTTGCACCACAACCATTTACTACTTATGACCAATGCGGTTGCTATTACTGAGGATAAGACACTGTAAAGTATTGGCTTCTGCTTCAGTCCTGAGTGTCATCAGTGACATTTCCTTTGCTCCTTGTGTAGTACAAGTTGAATTACAAGCAAAGGGAAGGCTATTTATTATGTAATTAGCAAATGATTTAACCTGAAATATTACCGATGTAGTAAGAGGTTCTATTGCAGCATAAACAAGCAGCCATGTTTCACGTAAAAGACACCAAGCTTTCTGTTCCTTCCACAGTTTTTGGCTTTAAAGCTGTTGGTTTTAAAGCTTTTCCAAGCTCCCCTGGACCAAAGGTCAGACGGAATGGCCAACGGCTCCATAACTGCAAATCTTGCAGCCATCAAGCAGTCAAAGAGAAAGTAGGGAAAAGAACAAATAACACGCTCAAAACAAGATTCTTCATTCCACTTCAGCAAGTTAATGTTCACATGCATTTTTGTCTACTCCTACCTGATTATTCTTGAAATCTTTAGATGGCAGAAATTCAGGATAGCTCATTCTTCCACAGTGCAAAGAAAGCTTTTGCTAGGTATGCTAGGGAACGAAGACCATGAATTCTCATGCAAAAGATAAAACAAATTAGGTATTACTTTTTTCAAGAAATTCTGAGTGATTGTGGGTTGGACTCAATGGTCCCTGTGGGTCCCTTCCAACATGATATATTCTGTGATTCAAAGAAGATAGGTGCTTTAGAAAGTTGAATAAATCAAAACTCTTGTTTTATTGTCAGCCTAATGGTGCTGGTCAAGCTGCTAATCAGTACTTCTAATGTCAGAAGTATGAACAGCACTGATGGAGTATGTACTGAGAATGTGAATTGGCAGTGTTTGGCACATTCAGTACAGTCTTCTGATTGAAGCAGTCAGCTTAGTAGGTTTTTGAATACTAGAAATTTCAAGGAACTTGGTTTCATAACTAATCTTTAGTGAAGAATGAACACCACATTTGAGTTATAACAATCACCAGGTTTGTTTGGGCTGTGGTAATTTTACAGCCTTAATGTTATATGCATTTGATTAGAAGCAAATACCCTGCAAACACATAGTGTAGGTGAGGGGTGAAGTCCATAAATGCCCAGCAGAATTTAACTGCTTATTCTATTTACATACACAATTTTAGAAGTGTCAAAGTAGGCTTGGTACAATTAAGAGGCACTTGGATCTTTTTGAGCAGTCGTCACCCCTCAAGATGTAAAATATTGAATAAATAGTATTTTTTTCAGTTGTTATTCCAGAGCCATGTGCTTAGCTCTGACATGTTGTGACATAAATATATATAAGTTGAAAACGAGGTTATTTCTATCCTGAACAGGTTTTTCAAAATAGAACAGTTCTAATGTTGGAACAAAAGGAGAGGTTGAAGTTTTCTACAAAACAGACTAAAAATCCTTAGGTTCTCAGAGTTAGATGAAGGATAAAAGGGCAGAAATTTCTGAATCTTGATATTTATGGTGTATTGCCATACTTATAGATTTGCGTGCCAGAGTGATAGTGCTTGTATTTATTTTTTTAATGAAGAACGTAATTAATTTCCGGGATGGTCTAACTCTCCTGGTTCGTGCAGAATGCTGCTGGTTTTACAGCATCTGCTGAGGTAATGATATTTATTCTTGGAGTGTCCACTATTTAATCTCTACAGTCAGTTTTTGCTTAATTCTTAATGGATAAACCTTAATAGGAAGCGTATATACAAGCCCCATTTCTTTCTGTAGGAGAGGTCAAAGATGGTGTGCTTATAGACTTTGTGCTTTTTGAATGATTTCTGTTGGGTCTAAAATGTTCATCTCCAAGAGGAAAGAAAGTTTCCATGCTTTTCCTCTTGGGACTTCCTTTTTGTGTTTGTTTAAAATTAGCATTTCATTATAGGCCAGAGAAAAACACATCTTTTTTTTCATTCTAATATGCTTTCCTTCTGATTTCAGCTTGGGGAAGAGCTGCAGCTGCCACATACCTTGTTGGCTTCATTCTCCTTGTCATCTGTTTTGCTCTGGCCATCATAGCGTTTGCCATTGATACACTTCGGTTCAACTTCATAAGAGGGATTGGAGGCTTGCTTTTTGTTGCTGGTAAGACAATATGTGAAGCAAAGTTTAGCTCATGCAGATATACTAGAACTGATATTTTCCTTATCTGCTTCTATGCTCAGTTCTCTGTCAGTATGCATTTGAACTCTCAATGAAAGATAACATAAAATCAGCCGTGGCAGTGGATCAATTTCCAAATCCTCCAAAACATGGGTGGATTTAGCTGCAACTATTATGGAGGTGAGCAGTGTGATTGGTGTAAGCTTAATCCACTTTTTCCCTCCTGTTTCTTCAGCTGTGTTCTCCATCATGGGCCTGGTCATTTATCCAGTGAAGTTCTCCAGTGAAATTGAAATGACAGGAATCAATATGTTCAGCTGGGCCTACGGCTTTGGCTGGACCACTGCCATTATGGAAATATGCTTGGGATTCTTCTTCTGCTGCCTTCCTAACTATGAAGATCAAATCTTGGGTAATGTGAAGCCCACGTATTTTTACTCTTCCCCATAAACACCAGGAAAAATATATTTGTATTCAAGAGATATCTGACTGACCATCTACATTTTCCAGAATAGTATCATCAGATGGAGTAGAAAAGGTTGGAAACTTTTAAAATACATACAGAAAAAAACAGTACTGGCATTTTACAATAAAGTTATTTACTATTTTTCTGAACCTTCGTATCTGATGTGGATTGCTTAGAAGATTAATTCTAAAAATTAAAAAATCCTTGTGTTTCCTCATTCATTCCCATGAATGTGGGTGCATATGGATTCCATTAAATCTTATATGCTTTTACATTTCCAATTAAATTCAGAAAAGAAACTATCAGTAAAGAAAACAACACATACCGTCTTTCTGAACAAAATTAGCTCACAGAAATCCCATTTTGTATGTTTCAATTTTCTCTAACCTGAAGATTTTTCAAGAAACCAAATGCCTTAATCTACTGACTGTCAGAGCAGCAAATTAGTCAGCCAGCACTCCATGACTTTCCTTCCAGTTTTGCATTCATTCACTTAAACTGTAGGGCTACAGGTCAAGAGAGACCCCCACTACCAAAGGCAGCATCCTGATTTTCACCCATCCATTTAGAATGTAAGTATTTATTTCTGAATGTTAGCATCAGTAAGCTAAGACCACCAGTAATCCAAGCACCCTCAAAAATTCTGGCATTCTGTTGTCGATGCCAGCACAGAGCAGGCAAAAGAAAGGGGATTTCCAGACATTTCTACAACCTACAGATCTGGTTTGAAGAGGCTCCTCATTCAACTTTTTTTTCATGGGCCTCTGCCAAAAGGCCCTTTTCATTAATTTGATGCTTACAAGTATTCTAAAAGTAGAGATTGCATACTGTAATGTGTATAAATACCAACTAATACTAAGACTGTCACATATAAGATACCTTTCAGTATCTTATATTCAACAGCGCTGCAAGCCTGGGTATATTGAAAGCAATGAGGTATACTCAATAAACTGCTGGCTTCTGTATTGCTAACCCTAGCTTTATAATACTCAATGTCTTGCTTTCTGTAAAGAGAACTCCTACTGAAATCTTTAACTAGATAGAATTATTATCTTGTAATACATGTGCAATTTTGTAACTGTACTTTGGAAAGTGTCCTGCCAAATGTTCTTCACTGCAAAGAATGAGAGAATTTTTTTTTTAGTAAAGCCTTTAAGTAGCTAAAATTAATAAAGACACAGGCTTTTATCTTCTTTTTTCTTTTTTTTTTAAAATATATTTTATTCATCCTCTTTTTTTTTTTTTTTAATGCAATTAACTCCATTTAATTTTATGGGGTGACTCCTGACTTAGATCAATAAATATGAGAGATGTATCAGGCTCATATGGAGTGCCTTTGTGACAGGGATAGGCTAGAAAAAAGCTTGCAAATACAATAAGAAGATATTTCCTAGTTGTAAAAAAAAGAAAATAAAATAAACACAGTTGGGATAACAGTTTGAATAAAATGTCTTCCAATTCTTTATGTAATGTTACCTGTCCAGGAAAAGAAAATCTTAACTCTTTCCATTATGCTTATTATACCTAATAAATGATGGTATCTATGTATTGTTTCAAAACTGAGTCTTAGATTTTGTTGTCTGCCAAGAAGAAGAAAGCATGGAGTCTCCCAGGGTATTCTCTTCTAAGGCACCATATTGGAGCATCTGTGTGTGCTGGCTGGATTTGATAGGGGAGAGTAATTTAAAGATCTTATATTAAGACATCTTGTTCTGCTCTTCAGTTGACTGTATCCTGGGGCCTCATTCATATTCATATGAGAATAGTGATTTTGCTCTGTTGAATTGATGGTCTACATGGAGACAAGTAACTATATGCATGGTTCTGTACTACAGTGTGTTACAGCTTGTTTTAGTGTGGGAGACAATGTTCTCATGTTCAGCAAATAAGAAGGCTGTGTCCTGTGGTCCTGCTCAGTGCTTTTGGATGTGTCAGTCCCTTGAGGAAGCAAAGGTGAACTTGAGCAATCACTGACTGTATTTATAGTTTCTTTCCCATTAGCTGAATGTTGACCCAATATCTGGAGGTGGAGAAAGATGCACAGAACAAGGTTTAGGAGTATGACTCCAACCTTGTTGTAAGAGCAGAGCATAATTAAAAGGCAAAGAAAATCTTAGTGACAGATCATGTCCCCTCCTCCCTTCTCTCCTTTGCTGCTCTCAGCACCTTCATCATCTCCTCCTTCACTTCCTCTTCCCTAAAGGCAGCAAAGCAGTATCAGGGCTGGTGATGATGGCTCTGTGGGATGCAGCCCCAGCATCCATTCTCCACTGCCATTTTCAGGAGGGCTGAAGTGGCTTTGCCAACTCCAGCACAGCCAGAGGGAGCCCAGTTCAGTTCCCTCTACAGAACCCAATGTCCAAATACAGAAGGACTTTATTCAAGACAAAGGAGGGGGGGAAGTGGATATCCAACGTGCAGAAGCACTACAGGTTGTAGAGCTCAAGTGCTTGTACTTAAAACAGTTTGTTTTCAGTGATTGAATAGAATCGTAGAATAGTCTGGTTTAAAAAGGACCTCAAAACTCCAGTCTTTCATGGGAAAAGGGAATGTAGACAAGATTATATAGTACCCTGTCCAAAGTGCCCCTGCCACAATGGTGGAACCAGATACTTGAGAGAGCATGGTGCAAGCAGAATGCAAAATGCATTCCATTTTAACAGAAAAAGGTGCTGAATCCAGAAGCCAAGGGGGTGGCTAAACTAGATTATCAAGAAACTGTAAACTGAATAAATGATCATCTAGCTAAATTATCAACTAAATTGTTAAATTAACCTTCAGCCAGGTCAACTAAATTATTAGCTAAGCAAAGTGGTGAATGATTTTGAACAAAGTCAACATGTGATTCTGGATTTTGAAACCAAGGAGAAATAAGAGAAAGGATCCCCTGATGTTCTGGTTCCATTTCTTAGGGTTCTTAATTAATGTCTCACCTGTAGGAAAAAAAAAAAGGTGCCTAACCACTAAAATAAGTAAAATGAAAGACTTAGAACTTCTTTGTGCCCAATCACAGCGCTGAAGAGATACCAAGTAAGAATAGATGACTGCAAGATTTGTCTTTTGAGATCATGAGCTCTGCTACAGCAACAGAAGGAAAGACATCACTGCCAAAGGCATTGCTGCTTCTCCTGTCAAATTAACTGCTGGGGAAGCAAATTCCAAAAATGCATTTCATTTAATTCAACTATATTACTAATAGAAGAGAAAGGCAAAATGGTGCTGGAAACGAGCAGATTGTCAAGCAGCTTCCCAGGTACAAACTGAAGCAGAAGAATTAATGAAATCTTTCTAAAGGTAAGTTAGTATATTCCATTTAATTTACGGTGTTTCTTCCAGAGCATGTGTGGCGTGTTGGTGTCTTGGTCTTTGTGATTCCTTTTGCAGATATTTCCATCTTTCATTATGCATTTGTCAGGCACCTGCCATTGGTCTTAAAATGTAGCCTGCCTAATCAATAATTAAAATGTAATCTAGTTTGCGACTGTATTAAAGTTGTGCATATTTTGTTGTATGAACTAATGCTATGAGTGATATTTTGACCCTGTTGACATCACTTGCAAATCCATTATTGATTTTCTTGAGGCTGACATTTCATTCTTGAAGAGCAAACACTTTTTCCTACATGTGCTTGGAATAAATGAATGTCTCTGTGGGCAGCTCCATTGATTTCAGCAGCTGTGTTCACTTCTGGAGTGCAACACCAGTCCGTGCAAGGGAAGTTACTGGAGTTACAGAAAGCAGGATGGTTCCTAGGAAAAATGACAATTCAATATGTGCAATATCTTGCAAAATCTGGATCATAATTGAATAACATTTTTTTGATACACATGTTCACAGTAAAAAGAAGAACCTTCTTTATTGGCAGATTTTAGCTCTACAGCAATTATTACTTCTTATAATTTAATTTCTTGGAATACTTTCTTGCATGTTTTAATAGTCAGTGAACTCTGTGCTCTGAAGATGAGTAGATTCAATAAAGGAATGGAATAATAGAGCTCGTGGTTAGGAGGTAACTGATCCATTTGTATGCTGTGGCAGGAAGCAGTAATCAAACTATCTTGCTGGAGAGATACTGAATAGAATGACCATAGTTTCTTCTGAGTTGTATTGGAAGGTAAAATAAGACAACTGAATCAAAAGGCTGCTACATAGTTAATAAGGGAGTTAGACGGAGGAAGTCACACAGATCTTGCCTTACTATTTTCTCAGCTGTTAAATTACTGCTATTGTCAGAAATTTTGGTTTTGAGGGAAAATTGCTATTCAGGTGCAGCTGTGTTGTAACAACTAGGCCTAAATTTTATCTCCAAAGTTCTTCAGTGCCCAAACCTAGGAAAATGGATGGATAACCTTAGGATTGCAGATATTTCTGCTTGATCCTTCCATAGGTGGTTCCTTAAGTGACTTAAGGATTTAAGATTAAGGCCTGTGTGCTTGTCTATACACACTGATTAGCTCAACAGATTTTTTGCCTATGGTGTAGAAACACTTTTCAATTTTTTTCATTTAATCAGAATGAAAATGTGGATGGATCCCAGAATTCTTTGTGTAACTTCTGGGTGTGAGGAGAACTTGCAGGAACAACTTTCAAAGCAGCTTTACTGTTTAAGATAAGAGGTTGGATCAAAATGTCCTCTCCTGATCAGCTTTATAACACATCCTTTTACTTGTGCTGCTGTTTGCCTAAGCCATCTGTTTTTCTGTAAAAACAGTTTTGCAAAAGGCTACTCTAATGAGTCTATCATACTGAACTTACGTTAGACATCCATGGAGGGCCCATCATAAATCACTCTAAATTGCCCTTGACTCTTCAGATGCAGTTCAAGCAGAGAGAATGGCAGGTTGCTTGAAGGATTTTTCCAGAGAATAGTGGAAAACCAGTGGAATTCACTCAATTCTTGACTAGGATTGCATGCCCAACACCCAATTTCTTATGAAAGAATTAGTTAAGGAGAATTATTACATGAAGTTTGCTCTATATACGCATACTTTGTATCACCAGCTTTTCCAAAGTTGATCTC